CTTAATAAATAACAGGGTATTTATACAAATACTTATTAATTGAAAAAAGTTAAATAGTAGCTTTACTGTGGAAACATCTGGCAGACACCTTAATCAGATATTAAAATTAGCACTGATTAGCAACAAACTGACATCTGTGTCCCCTGATAGGATGTACTAAGAGGTTCACAAAATCTTTTGAAGTATTTCTACCAAATATGCCTAACTTAAACCTAATAATGATGAAACATTACTAATCTAAAAATCTAATCATGATTAAACCCAAACTGCAGGACATTGTATACAATAACTGGACTGTGCTATTAAAAAATATCAAGGTCAAGAAATACAGAAAGATTAAGGACTTGTTCCAAATTATAGAAGGCTCAAGAGACATTATAACTGAAAGTAACACATGATTTGGGTTTTCTTTTCCCATAGAGGACATTATTGAGACAACTGGTGAAATCTAAGATCTACAGGATAGATAATACTAATGTATCAATATTAATTTCCCAACGTTAATAACTGTACTATGGTTGTTTTAGAGAATTGCTTGATTTTAGGAAAAACACAATAAAGTACTTAGTGGTACACAAATTTCTTTCTTTCTCTATATTTTATATTTACATCCAGAAGGATAAAGCAAATGTGGGAAATAATATAATGAATTCTTTATACCATTCTTGCAACTTTTCTATAAACTTGAGATTATGTTAAAAGAAAAAAATTCCAACTTAAAACTCTTATGAAAGTTCTGAATTGTTGTTTCTAAATAAAAAAATATATATGGACTTTGGTATCTATCTGCCAACCACAGGTTCCAGTCGTGGCTCTGCTATTTAGTAACAGTTCTGTGAACTTGGGCAACTTAACCTCTCTGAGCCTCAATTCTCTCTGCAAAGGGGGGATTTAAAAATATTTATCAAAATCGTAAAGTTGTTTTGAAGTTGAAATAATGCATATAAAGTACACATTGATAGGCACAGGATTAAAAAAATAACAACTATATAAATGTTCTTTTACTTTATTCTTATTTCATTTATTTATTTAATTATAAGGCCAGGAAAAAAAAAAAAAAAATCAAAAGCTGGCCAGTTGGCTCAGTTGGTTAGAGCATGGTGTTATAACACCAAGGTCAAAAGATTTGGATCTCTGTACCAGCCAGCCTATATATATATATATATATATATATATATATATAGTATAAGGCCATATCACCAATGATGATGAATGATTTTAGAAATTTAAAAATTTCTGGCCCATACAAAGTTTATTCATATTCTTAAGAATATGAGGTTAAGGAAAGATATAAAGACCAGCTATGTCTGTAAGCAATCTGAATGCCATGCAGGAGAAATGAAAGCTATACTGTAGCTTTCATGAGAAAATCAAGAGTTCTTAGAGAAAGAATAACATAATAATTAAAATAATTTGATATATCTATTTCTCTATATGTAATGTACAAGCTTCTCTAATAGGACAAAAGATAATCAAAACCTGATTCAAGAGAACAGAGAGTATTGGAATGCAATGCAATGGAAAAGAACCAGTGGATGTTCATCCCACAGAGAGGAAAGCCAGACATTCTAAAGATGCCTAGGATAATTCAGCACATTTGAAGAATATAAAGAAATCTGTTACTGGCCCAAGAAAGATGGGGCAAATCAGGCTTAATGATGATTCCCTGTTGAGTGGTATACACAGGCTTAAAATAGTAAATTGTATAGTGTGTTATTTTTCTCACACAAGTATCCGGGATATGACTGAATACCTGTATTAGTTCAAACCTGCTATTATTTGTTCCTGCTAATTTGTATAAGAATGAACGATAAAATGTGAGATCAGAAGAGCATTTTGGGGACTATTTCATCTTGCCTTCTGTGTGATTACTCTCTCCTGGATATGTCTTCTTCCTATCTCTCCTACTAGTCCTTTCAGTCACTGTCACTGTATCTCATTCTTCAACCTGTTATACTTTGCTAACTCTTCTTACTCTATTGACTCTAATATGCATATATTCCCATAATTTTAATACTACTTAGGTGCTGACAATGCCAGTAATTTTATTTCCAGTCTTGAATTTTCTTTTTTTTCTTTTTTTTTTTTTTGGTCTTTTGTCTTTTTCCGTGTCCGGCAACGGATCGCAACCCTCAGTGTTGCCCCCGTACCGGACCGGGGACCGGCAACGGGATCGCACCCCGCGGTGTTGCTCCCGCGCCTCGCTCAGCCAGTGAGCGGGAACCGGTCTGTATGTGGGATCCGAACCCTCGGGTGGGTACGCCACCGTGCTTCCCAAGCAGCGCACTTATCCAGTGCGCCACCGGGCCGGCCCCCAGTCTTGAATTTTCTTTTTTTTCTTTTTTTTTTTTTTGGTTTTTTGTCTTTTTCCGTCTCCGGCAACGGATCCCAACCCCCAGTGTTGCCCCCGTCCCGGACCGGGGACCGGCAACGGGATCGCACCCCGCGGTGTTGCTCCCGCGCCTCGCTCAGCCAGTGAGCGGGAACCGGTCTGTATGTGGGATCCGAACCCTCGGGTGGGTACGCCACCGTGCTTCCCAAGCAGCGCACTTATCCAGTGCGCCACCGGGCCGGCCCCCAGTCTTGAATTTTCTAATCAGGTATATAATCGCTTTGTTCAGTGTGTTACATGCAACACACTGAAAATTAAAAGTCATCTTCCTCCAACAATCCTGCTCTTTTTCCTATTTTCCTTACCTTGATTGTGGTTTTCATTTTGGAATTATCTGCTCTCTCTATTCGTTTAGACTTACTTCAGAACATCATTAATTCTTTTATAGATAACTTTAATAGCAATTACCATATTACTCCTTTTAAGTCAACTTTCACATTTTCCCAAGTGATTTTTCACAAATCTGGTCATAATTAATTGTGAATTAAAACCCTTCAAAAAAAGTCACTTTCAAAAAAGGACTTTCACAAAAATCTAAGATTCTTAGCATGACATCCAGGCCCTTCATAACCTGACCCCTTTCTATCTCTGTGACGTAATTTTTTCCTACTCTGAACTGTGTGCTTCACATTCTATAACATGGAACTGCCTATTGTTTCCTCAAAACACACCACAGTATTTTACACCTCCATGATTTTTACACATGCTATTCCCTCCAACTGGAATAACTCTTTGACTCTACCTCTTGTCTCTATTATGATGAGAACCTTACCCATCTTAAAGGAAGTTTTCCCTTAACAAGTCCCCTCCCCCTCATAGTTAATCGCTTCATCCTCATCCTTCCTTGTATCATATATATTTTTCTACTTTTTATAGTAAGCACTTATTATACTGTAATGCCTCATCTGTCTCTCTAATTTTTAAATTCCATGACAGCAAAAACTATGTTATCTATCTCTATTTAATAGTGCCCAGGAGAATACCACACATATTTTGTGATCGATAAATGTTTAGTAAATTAAGTGAGCAGGGAACAAAAACTTGGTAGTACAGATTTTTTTATACTAATAGGCCTTTGGAAGACAAAGATGATATAGAAGGAGATGACTAATTAGTTATCCAGATATTATTTATAAACTGGATTTGGAATTCTATTCCACAGCCAAAAAAACTAAAATGAAGAAATCTTGGCTAAAAATGGACTATATGTTTCTTTTAAAGATGAAGAACTATGTATTTATTAAGAGCTATGCCATCTGTTTTAAATGGTGTTTAAACTAAATACAAAGAGAAAGAATAAAAGATTCTGAGTTAAACTCATGAAATCAGTGGTACAGTAGACAGCCAGAATGACATGGAGAGAACAAAAATGGGAAAGGTATGCAAGCCACACAAGAAAATAACTGGAAATAGGTCCAGAAACATAACTATAGCTTCAGAGTTCTGTAAATTAATGGGCAGAACATAAGCAGTAAATAAAACATACTTGAGAGTTCAATACAATGTGATTAAGAGGTAATAACACTGAGACCTGGAGAACAGAACTCAAGATTGGGATGTGACAAGGGAAAGGAATAGAGAATTTTTTTTTTAGAGGAAATTAACAGAATCTAGAGCAGCCTTGTCTAACTGAACTTTGTGCAATGATGGAAATGGTCTATACTTGAGCTACTGAGCACCTGAAATGTGCAAATAAGAAATTAAATTTTTAATGTGAACTTTAAATTTAATTTAAATTTAAAGCCACGTGTAGTTAGTAGCTGCCATACTGGGCAGCACAGATCTAGAGTCTCTATATAACATGTTATGTATAATGTCCAGTATATTATAAAAAAAATTAACAGACATATCAACAAACAGGAAAATGGAACTTATGGTAAAGAGGAAAAAATTTCAATAAAAACAAACTCAGATGACCCAGATATTGAATTTAGCAGACAAGGGCTTTGAAGTAATTATGATAAATATGTTAAGGAATCTGTAAGAGAAGACGTATATAACTGATAAAGAAATGCAGAATTTCAGGGAAGATATAGAAACTGTAAAAAGAAACCAAAATGAAACACTGGAACTGATAAATACAATATCTGTAATAATTATAGGACTCTCATAATGAATTTATTGAAGTAAATGCCACCTGGCAGAACTTTCTGGTGGACAGAGGGAATGTCTTCTCCTAAGTGACATATCTTTATGCATTAAACGTACTTTGCGTACTGGAAATATCTGTACTTTCTATCAGTAACAGATATACAAAACAAACAGCTGACTTAAGAAGCAATGAATTCCTCAGAAAATTAGTAATCTTCAGGCATAGATAAGACCATAATTTGGCAGGATATAATAAAATAATCATAAGTGAACAGAACGTCCCAGAAGGTTCCTTAAAACCCTGAGATTCAAATATTTGATCAAATGACCATGAAATTTGAGCTGAAATAAAATTTAGTTATACTCGCATAATGGAAAAGACATTTTACACTGTAGTTGATTCTGAATACAAGATAAATTAATTTTTACTACTTAAACATATACACCTTTGAAAATTTGAAATATAAATATTCTACTAGGTAACCATATATTAAACATCAAACAAAATTTAAATTACCCTCTTGTCCATTTCATAAGATGAAGCTTCTGTACTTGGCAAAAGATGGGTAATAGTGGCTATTAGGATCTGCAGGAAATGAAAAAAACTGTTAAATTAAAATATGATGTCAAAATATGTTAAATTAATGGTACATCCTAAAATTTAATTGTTAAATGCTAAGGGATATAAAAACTATCACTGCAAATTTATCCTAAATATATTAACACTTATTTCAAAGTAATTTTAACAGCTAAGCTTTTTAAGTATACTTAACTATCAATCATTTATAATCCTGATGTACAGAACCAAAATTATATAGTTCTATCAGCTATAAATGGATTTCTTCCTAACTTAATTCATGGGAGTGAATTGGTATGTATAAACACAGAGATAATATATGTTCTTTATAGAAAAACTGGAAGATATGGATAAGCAAATAGATTTATTAAACACTACTGTAATCCTATCACTTCAAGAAATCTACTCTATTGTCTTTCTAGGCTTTTCTGGCTATTTACATAAGTATATGCCTTTTAAAAAAGGTATGTGGCTTTTTCAATTAACATAGATACTGGGTACTGTATGAATAAATATAAAATGGGGAATATGAAATACTAAAAAAGAAAAACTTTACTAATAGAAGGCAAAATATTCATATATAGTGCTATCATTTACACCCTGCAAATTGCATGGTCTCATTCAATTTTCTTATATGCATATTAAAAACGTACAGGTGTAAATTTACTGTACTTCTATTGCATGCTATCATATCTTTACAAATTATTGCTTTGATGCATTAAATAAAAAAATCCCTCTAACTATATTTTATACAGAAAACGTCTTTACTCACTAATAAAATCTAGTATATTCGATGTATTTGCTTAATATTGATAATAAAACTGGGTCTCTATACATAATTCTGCAAATAGGTAACCATCAGTGAAATGTGCCACAGATTTGAGATTTCTTCATTCAATTAGAGGTGGAAAATAATAACTCTTCATGTTTATCTATGGTCCCTGGCAAGTATAATGTACAGTGAAGCAATTAGCAAAAATTCTGCACACTTATATATTATTAATATGCAAAAACTCTGCACACACATATTATTAACACTTAATAATATTAAGTATTATTTATATAATTATTTATTATATATTATTTATATTTATTTATTTATATAATTAATATAATTTATAAATCATACTTAAGTAATTTATAGTTTATAAATTTATAATTTATATATTATATTAAAAATATTATAATAGTACTATATAAATAATATATATTAATACTTAATAGAAATGTTATTTCTATATAATATCTATATAACTATATATTATTTATATAATTGTATATTTATTATATATATATATATATATATATATTTTTTTTTTTTTCCTTTTTGTCTTTTTCCGTGTCCGGCAACGGATCGCAACCCTCAGTGTCGCCCCCACACCGGACCGGGACCGGCAACGGGATCGTAACCCTTGGCGTCGCTCCCGCGCCTCGCTCAGCCAGTGAGCGGGAACTGGTCTGTATGTGGGATCCGAACCCTCGGCAGGAGCGCCGCCGCGCTTCCCAAGCGGCGCACTATAGCAGTGCGCCACCGGGCCGGCCCTATATTTATATATTATTTATATATAATATTAATACATATTATTAAGTGTTAATAATATATATAAACTGATGCAGAAAATAGGAGAAAGGGATTTAGAGGAGGCTTTTAGATGAAAAAAAATCTGCTTACTTGAACAACCTTAATTTTCAAACTGAATAATCAATGTTAAAGGGTAATTTTTTAAAGTTTTAAAATTTCAAATGTTTTAATACTAGACACTAATCTACACATTCACATTTACATCAACTTATCATGTCCTACTTAACATGATAATGATAATAGTTGCAGCCAACATTTATTACCACTTATATCCTATCATTTATATGCTAAAAAGTACTTTACATGTATTTTCTTATTTAGTCTTCAAAGCAACTCTGTGAGGTAAATAAATATTTGTATCCCAAATGTAAAGATAAAGAAATCCAAAGTTCAGGGAGCTAAGCAGCTTATCCACAGCTACAAAGTTATTAAGTGGCACAGCCAGAGGTTAAACCCAGGTGTGCTTAACCCCTAAATCTAAGCTCGTAACCATAAATATTATATTCAACTCAAAAGATATTTAGTGAACATTTTCTTTTTTTAATTTTGTTTAAATTTATTTTTATTTTTTTATTTACGGAACATTTTCCACATAAAAGTCACCCTGAGAATAAGAAATAATAAAGAAAAAAAAATCCTTGGTCTCAACTCAATTTTTCTACGTACATGTTAAAAACGTACAGAACTAAATTTATTGTATACTAAAAAAATTTTACACATTACTGCTTTGATGCATTAAGGAGAAAAATTCCTCTAAATATACTTTATACAGAAAAAGGCTTTACTCACTAGTGTTATGTTTAGTGCTATAATGGAGGCTAGCAACACAGTTGAGTGGGAAAAGCCTGGACTTTAGAATCTTACAGATTTCAGTTTGAATCCTGTTCCTGTTCTGTTAGGTTGTGACTTTATGAAGTTACTAAATCCTCATTTCTTTCATCTTAAATAAGGGAGGGTGAGGGTGAGGAAGGGAATAATCTCCTACCTCTAAAAACTTTTAAGAATTAAGTGACACATATGATATGTTAACTGGTACATGTTACTTAGTAAGTATTAGTTCTCATCTTTCCCAAAAATGTTATAAAAATATGAAGAAAGATAAATTCTGATTGGGCAGAGCAGATACAGATTTTTATTTTTTGAGGAGATGGCATTTAAGCCAATTATTAAAAGACAAGGGGGGTAGAGAGGAGAAATAAAGCATTTCAGGTAGAAGGAAGAGAGCAAGGCGGGCAGGTTCAGGTGATATTAAGCAGACTCAGTTGCCTGGAAAACATGGCATTTCAAAAATCTGTACATGATACTGGAAAGACAAGTTGGGTCCTTATCTGAAGGCCTTGAATTCACAGCTAAAGAATTTGTGCTTTATTTTTTAGTGAAGGGAAGACCAGAGATTTTTTTTTTAAAGGTAAGTGACATAATAAGAGTCATGTAAATGTGAATGATGAAGGAGAAGACTGTTATGAGCCAGGAGAATAGTTAGAAGGCTGTCATAATATCTCAAGTATGAAATAACAAAGGGCTGAAATATGTCAGGTGCTGTAGGAAGCATAGGAGACACTGAATTAGAATTAAAACAAAACAAAACACAACAATTCATAAGTGATTGGCTGAAAAGGAAAGGAAAGGAATAATATCCTGATGGTGGTAACTGTAAGGATGGTATGTTTCCCTTACCTAAGAGAAGGAATAAAGCAGAATATACATTTATAAAGACAAAGGCATAAATAAGTTTGCATTAACATTTAATTTTCATTACAACTAACAAATTATTTTCTAATGTTTTTACTTTGTCCAAAACCAGGTACACACTCTTTAAAGTACAAAGGAACTGTCAGGAACTGTGATATCACAAAACAGCATGATAGGCAGCCACTATTTAGCAATGCAAAAAAATTTAAAAAAAAATATTAACTAATTTTATTTTTTAAGGTAACCATCTTTAACAAAGTCATAATAAAAAAAAATTGAAAAACTACTTACTTGAATAATTTTCAAGGGAGAACCAGGCTGGTAAATCTGAAGTCTAGGTACATAATGAACCAGCATGTGAAGCATGTTACAAGCTACATGGGCTACTGTTTTATTAGTAAACTGCAATAACAAAAACAACAAAAATCAGTTAAGAAAATTTTCTTCGCAAACTATTTATCAATACATTGGTTGCTGAAAAATTTTTAATTTGATATGTTTTTTCTTGTTATGCTACATTTATGAGTGTTTATTAAGATATTATTAGGAAAATAAATCTACAGCTGCAAAATAAAAAAACACAACACATTTCAAGTATACATGTAACTTTACCTTTTCTTTGCAATGTTTAAATATCCTTATTAATGTTTCATTGCATTTTCTCTTACCTGGATTTCTGCACTGGCTTCTAAACTACTAATCTTGTTATTACTCTTTTCTCCATTCTAATTTACTAGTCACAACAATTCCAAATTAATCTTATGAAGCACCACTCTGATTCTGACATTCTCTATGCTTAAAACTCCTAGAAGACTCACCAATGTCATAAAGTTAAACTTTTAATGCTTATCTTTCTGTGTTCAAATCTCACTCAGTGTTCAAGCCCCAACCTAATGTCTCTTTTCCAAAGTCCCTGATAACTAAGTCAAAGTGATCTTGACTTCCTTTTTACTCAATTAGCACTTTATATGCACCATTCATTTAGTACTCTCAACCTTTTCAATTTTTTTACTTTTTTTTTTTTTTTTTTCTCCCTTTTTGTCTTTTTTCATGACCGGCAACGGATCGCAACCCTCAGTGTCGTGCCCGTACTGGACAGGGGCCGACAATGGGATCGCAACCCTTGGCGTTGCGCCCGCACCTCGCTCAGCCAGTGAGCAGCCGGTCTGTATGTGGGATCCGAACCCTCAGCGGGAGCGCCGCCGCGCTCCCAAGCCGCGCACTGTAGCAGTGTACCACCAGGCCGGCCCTAATTTTTTTACTCTTATTTTAATCTTTTTCAGCTATTATTACTGTCTTGAAGACAGTATTTACAAATTTTTTTTCCAGTATCTTTCACTTTGCCTAGGAAAGTGCCTGACACATAGTATATATTCAGAAACATCTGTCAAGTAAATAATATTATTATTCAAAAATATTTATAAGGTACTTTGCATGTCTAGAATCTTATACAGATGCTGAGGGTATTACAAGTCAAACAAAAATAATACCATGCATTTTTCCATAAACGAAAATACCCATTTATTAATTCAGACACTCCAAATAATTAAATTGCTACTTCTTTTTCTTTTTTTTCAGCTGAGTTCAATACTTAGATTATCACTTTCGAACAAATCTTATTCTGGCTACAAAGAGGGCATTTAACTCAAATGATAAAGGCAAAATGTTGAACAAAGAGTAAGTTACAAAAATACTAGTTAAAAAAACAAACAGAAGACCTTATATACATGTTTAAATGACTGGTTTCCTTTTTTAGGAGTCATCCACATGCATTCTAGGGACAAAGTCAAATACATATAAAGCTGAGAGAAAGTAGGTCATCCCAAAGATACCCTAAATTCAAGAGTAGGACCACTCTTAAAGAAACAGTCAGGATCAAAAAAATAATAAAATAATAAAGTAATAAAATATCCCGTTTTATTTCCTAAGGGCACAAGATTATAACTAACATTTGGAGGGGAAAAAACCCCACGCATTCTATACTATCCTAATATACTTCACTAAACAATTTTCTTTACCTTTAAGGAAACACAAATTACATTCAGAGCTTCCTTAATTTGTGGATGATGAGACTCATGAACTAGTTCTTCACAAATCCAAATACCTAAACTGCAAAGTGCTACACATCTGCAAAAAAGAATCAACAATGATACAAATAAAAGTGTATGAGCCTTTAAATAAAATGAAACCACCACCACCACAACCAACACCCACAATCAACCAACACAGAATGAGCATATATCATTTAGGTCAAGTAATTAATCTGTTACTCTACACATTAGCTGGTGAATAAGGAAGGAAGAGTACTTGGGAAGAAAGCACATCCCCAAAATGCTAAGCTTAATTTTCTGTTATAATTTACTACCAAGATCATAGACTGGGACATCATCCAGCACCTTTCTAACAAATTCATGTTAATAAACTGACATTGCTATAAAGCTTCCCAAATATGTAATCTGCTTTCAAAAAGGAAAGAGAGTAGTTTTATTGACTGACAACAGTAAAATGAACTTAAAAAATGAAGGTGATGGAATAAGTAAAACATTAATTTTGTATCTTTTAAATTTAACACAGCTAACTACAAATTCTTTTCAAAACAAATCGAGAACACAAAATTTATATAATTTATAAGAGACTTACAACAAAAACAGAACTTACAGAATTTCTGTTCTGTTCCCTAATGTCTTGTAGGGTTTCTTTTCCCTAGCAATGTAACTTCAATTCAGTTTCAGCTTGAAGAGATATTTTATGATCAGAATCAATAAGAATTCTACTGTGTTCAAGTTTAGGCTTCTGATCAAGACAATAATGGTTCACTCTAAGTATAAAAACAGTCAATGTCCTGGTACATATGGCATGTCCTAATGCTGACATTCTTATCTTAAACCCAGTGCAATGATAAATTTCAGAACAATTCAATGCAGTAATATTTTCCTTCCTGAACACAGCAGATCAAAAGGTCTTAAGTCCCCTCTTTAGGTCTGGAGTATTAATGCTACAAAATTGTTTAATAACAAAACTACTAGAAATCTTTTAAGTGAAGATTTATTTATTTATTTACTGCTTTATTTCTTCCTTACACTTGTCCACCCATAAATCCTAGGTAATATTTATACATCTAAATAACCAAGTTCCTGGTTTAGCAATGAAAACATCTGTAATCCTAAAGCAACAATAAATTCTGAACCAAAGCAAAGCTCTCCACAGATGCAGCTAACTAAAGGCAAAGACTAGGAGGACAAATCCTTGACAGTTTTTGTTGTAACAAGATGAGGTAAGAATAGCATGTTTTTGTTTTTTTGTGTATAGAGTTTCCTGCATTCCACAAGATGTCAAAATCATCTCAACTATTCCAAGTATAACTCAACTCTGCTCAGGCTCAGATTTCGTGGTATAAACTTTAAAAAAAAAAGAGATATAAAGGTTTATGTTTATGTTTATGAGAAAATGCTTATGTTCAACTTCTGGGGTTTGTCCATACACTCAATAACACAACCTGCTGTGTTAATGATTCCCAGGTCTACCTCTGGGCAGCTATGTTTTAGGCTTCCACATTCTTTCACCTGAGAGGCAAACTGGTTTTAAAAAAAATTAAGTAAAAACCAGGAGACCTAGAATCTTAAGTTCTAGTTTCAAAACTGGTTCTGCTAGTTATTACTTATGCATCTAATAAGACTCTAAAGACAAACTGCCAGGGTACTAGTCATGGCTCTGCTATATCTGGGTGCTAGGGTAGGTTATATAAATTCTCTGGGCTCCAGTTTCCTTATCTATAAAAGGAGGAGGATTAAAAAATAGAGTTATTGCAAAACTCAATGAGATAAATATAAAGAATTAGATAAAATAATATTATAGAAAAATTTCTGTAGACTTAAATAGAATTAGTGTAAAAGAGATTTGTTTTTAATTTGGCTTTTTTTTTCTTTGACAGCTAGCCAGTAAGGGGAACTGAACCATTGACCTAGGTGTTACAAGGCTGTGCTCTAACCAACTGGGCTAACAAGCCAGCCCTTAACTTAGCTATTAAGTGAGAAAAATATGCAATTAAATTTATAAAAATTGGAGGTATGTCTCATTTAACCAAATAGCTCATTTTGAACTATTTTTATTTTCCAGAAAAAGAGGCTTAAATTAGAATTAGAATCCAAACAGTTAAAGCCATGATCTGTACCTTTTGAATCTTAGGTTAAAAAATGTATAGATGAAAAGAAAACAGGAAGCTTTGCAGAGATGTAGATCAGAAGAGTAATAGCACAAACTAATGTTGAGTCTAACAACATACTATTAGAATAAGCATAAAGAAATATAAAATATAGCTTAATGATATTTTGGGGGAAGAAAAGAAACATGGTATGCTACTGACAACCTGCTAATTTAAATCTCAGCCTTTTTTTGAAAAGGTTTAGTTATAAAACAGAGAAAATTTCAGTTTTTAATTCTTAAGACATTATAAAAAATGTAAAAATCTTATTACTTAAATTCTATTTTTTAAAAATCCTGATCAAATGTTTATATATTAAAAGATACTATTCCTAGATACATTACTTTCTACAAAAAAATTTTTTATTTTAATTCAATGTAACAAACATTCATTGGGTACCTATTACTGCATTTCAAGGCATTGCACAGGAACAATGACAAATATAATCTGAAGAGAAAGCAAAATGTACTTAAATAAAACAAGTCATTTTAGATATTACTAGAGATAGGAAGAGGCAGGGCTAGCAAGAAATTGGTTAATGAACACAAAGAATGATTATGTTTTTGTAATGATGAACATGCTAATTATCCTGATTTGATCATCACACATTGCACACAGGTATTGATGTTCAACTCTGTACTCCACAAATATGCTTAATCAATTATTTTTCAATAAAACAAAAACCCCAAACCAAAAAATCCAAATAATTTAACCTCATAATTCAGAATGACTTTTATATGTCTGAAAAAACCATAATAATTCGATCAACTTCTAAAATAAGAACCCAAACACAGAATAGTTATATTAAGTCTAAGAATATCTGACCTACCGTGCAGGACCAGAGGGCTCATCTCTTGCTGAGCTTAATACAGTTTTAATTATAAGTTCCTAAAATAAGAGGGAAATAGTTAATAGCAATGACTAAGATTTCATTCATTCATTCCACAAATGTTTATTAAGGGGCTGGTATTGGCCAGGTACTGTGCCATGTACTGAGAATATAACAGTTAAGTAAAACAGTCTTTGTTTTCATGTACATACTATTAATAAAGAGCCTCATATTATTCATAAAAGTAGCTAAATAAATAAAACAATTTCTAAAATTTAAAAACAAAATTATATGTTCAGAAAATAACCTTTTTTCCTGATTAGAAGTGTAATTAAGGCTCACTATAAGACAAATAAAGTAGAATTAATTGCTCAAAGGTATGAATATCTTTTTACAACTTTCAGAAATATTGTTTAAAACCCAGGACCAGATGGCTTCTCCAGTGAATTCTACCAAACATTTAAAAAATAATTAACACCAATCCTTCTTACATGCTTCCAAAAAAACCACAAAGGATGGAGCACTTCCAAACTCATTTTACAAGGCTAGCATTACCCTAATACCAAAGTTAGTCAGACAAGAGCACTACAAGAAAAAAATATTATAGGCCAATATCCCTGATGATTCTAGATGCAAAAATCCTCAATAAAATACTAGCAAACCAAGTTCAACAGTACATTAAAGGGATCATACACCATGATCAGAGTAGGATTTATCCCTGGGATGCAAGGATGGTTCAACATAGTAAATCAATAAATGTGATATATACCACATTAACAGAATGATGAATAAAAACCATATGATCATCTCAATAGGTGGAGAAAAAAGCATTTGACAAAATACAACATCCTTTCATGATAAAAAATTCCCAACAAATAAGGTATGGGAGGAATGTACCTTAACATAACAAAGGACACATAGAACAAGCCCACAGCTAACACCATTATTCCGTGGTGAAAAACTGAAAGCTTTTCCTCTAAGATCAGGAACAAGACAAGGATGCCCACTCCCATCACTTCTATTCAACATAGTACTGCAAGTCCTAGCCAGCGCAATTAGGGAGAAAAAAAGAAAAAAACTTTCCATACCGGAAAGGAAGAATTAAAACTGTCTCTGTTTGCAGATTACATATTTAATATATAGAAAACCTTATAGACTCCACCAAAAAACTGTCAGAACTAATAAAGTCAGTAAAGTTGCAGGATATAAAATCAATATACAAAAGTCAGCTGTGTTTCTATACACTAATAATAAACTAACTGAATAAGAAACAAACAATCCCATAAAGCAACAGTATCGAAACCAATAAAATCCTTAAGAACAATTTTAACCAAGGAGGTAAGAGATCTGTACACTGATGAAAGAAATGAAAAAGACAGAAATAAATAGAAAGATATCCTGTACTCATGAATTAGAAGAATTAATATTGTTAAAATGTCCATACCCTTCAAAGCAATCCCACTTTTGGGTATATATCCAAAGGAAATGAAATCAATATGTCAAGGAGATATCTGCACTACCATGTTCATTGCAGAATTATTCACAATAGCCAAGATATGGAAAAAACCTGTGTCCATCGAAGGTCTAATGAATAAAATGTGATACGTACAAACACACACACAGAGAGAAATATTTTTCAGCCTTTAAAAAGAAAACCTTGTCATTTGTGACAACATGGATGAATCTGGAGGCTATTACACTAAGTGAAATAAACCAGACACAAAGACAAATACTTCATGATCTTGCTTATATGTGAAATCTAAAAAGTTGAACTCTTTAGAAGCAGAGAGTAGAATAGTGGTTACCAGGGGCTGGGGGGCGGGGAAATGTTGGTCAAAGCAGACAGAGTTTTAGATATGCAAAATGAATAAGTTCTGGATAGCTAATGTACAACATGGTGACTATAGTTAACAACACTGGATTGTATGCTTGAAATCTACTAAGAGTGTAGATCTTAGTTTTTCTCACTCTCCTTCACCAAAAAAAGGTAACTATGTGAGGTGATGGATATGTTATTTAGCTTTAAGTTTATCACAATATATATGTACATCAAAACATCATGTTATACACCTTAAATATATATAATTTTTATTTGTCAATTTTACCTCAATAAAGCTACAGAAAAAAGCCAGCCCTCCTCTTCCTCGATAATTTGTAAAGTATGCTAATGTATACATTTTGGGATAAGTTCTAGATATTAGTTAAAATTATGTAAATGAATAAAATATTCAAGAGATAACAGAATAAATACAAGGGTAGAATATTGAAATTAGTGTATGTTTGGCAGGCGGACAAAAATAACTAGTCTATCACAGCGTCAGGATACTTAAAGAGGCAAGAAGTAAATCAGGATAGATCTGTGCAATATAAGTCAAAGACAAAGAGATGTTTAGGAAGGACAGGGACACCAATACTATAGTGGGTCAAATACTACAGTGGCTGAGGAGAATAAGAATGCCACTATATCTGATGACTAAGAATTTGTTCATTAATATATTCATTCAATAAGCATTCATTGGCTGTACAGAATGTAAGCTCCTTAAAAAGAACAACTTTCCACGTATCATTGTAAACTCAGCAACTAACCCAATGGCTGGCATTTAATAGGTACTGGAAAAATACCTATTGTTTAAGCTCAAGAACTTTCTATGCAATGAACCCTGTCTTAGGTGCTAGAAATGAGAAAACAGTTGTCATCATACTTATCTTTGTGAAGTTTACAGTTCAGGAATGGAGGCAGATTTATAAATATAATTAAAATATAAGATCATGTTATATAAAATATATAGGCAAATTCATACAGACAGAACATAAATCTGTATTTGCCAGGAGTTTGGGGTAAAAAACAAGGGGGAGTCACTGCTAATGGGCAGGGGGTTTCTTCGGGAATGACAAAAATGTTCTTTTTCTTTTTTTGGTAGCTAGCTTGTACAGGCTGAATATGTTCTAATATCAACTGTGATGTTGGTTGCACAATTCTGTGACTATACTAAAAAGTACTGGGTGAACTGTGAAAACAAAAAAACAAGATGATGTTTATGAAGTCCTATGTGAGCAAATAGCTCACCTGGGAAGTCATAAAAGACTTCATGAAGGAGTCTTAGATAAACAGGACTTTGACAGATTAATCAAAGTCAAAGACTATGATTTTATGTGTTTGGGGTGTTTGAGAGAGGCAAGAGAAGAGAATAGGACTAAAGAATGACACCTTAAATAGAAAGAAATAGTTTTTCAAAAGCATAGAACCAAGAAACAGCATGGTAAGTTCCATGTGGCTGTAAAGCGCATGGGGAGCTGGCTTCAGTAAAATTAAATATGACCACAATGACACATAACTTTCCCTTAAATCTTCATGTTCTAAGAACAATTATCACTTTCTTAGGCTTTTTGCTTTCTTCATCAGTATTAGAATTGGCTAGTATTTTAGAGATTCTTTTTCCCCACAAAAAAGGTGTTGTTTTTTTAAAAAAAAACAAACAAAAAAATCACATCAGCCATTATGGCCTACATAATAGCCAATAGAGAACAAGGCCACACTGAAATAGGATAGGATGTTGTAGGATAGGCTAACCCCTAACTAACTCAAACTGCCTAAGCAAATTAAAACCATGACCCATCCTTGGCCTTTGGGATCTTCTGAAAATAAAATAAACCAAAGCTATTACATCTCTGAAAAGCAAAGGTCAATTTGTATAGTTTTTATTAAGTGTCATTGTAAATCTGCATTGACCCATTTGACTTTATGTATAAGTCAAGTTCACTTGTCTAATAAGTCATTTCTGAGTATATACTATGTGCCAAGTAGAGTGTAGGCTATGAGGATATAGCAGTAAATAAGATCTTGTGGTGTTTGTCTAAAGCAGAAATTAGGCACTGAAGAAGTAATCATAAGTACAATAAATGTTACGAAGAGTAATATGGATGCTATGGAGAGTGTATGCAACGCTCCTGACATAAATTGGATTAAAAGACTTCTTTCTGAGAAAGCAAGTTAAAAAATCATCAGCATGATGCCTGAGGAGCTACGATGTCTCTCTCTCAACTCTTCTTTTAATTGCAGGGACCAATTCAGGTCAAACACAGAGACCATCTGGCAATTACTATTACAGGCATGACTTCTCAGAACTGTTAAACCCTTGGGAAATTATAATACATAGGCATTCAGTTATAGAGACAGGTCTTGACTTTGTGATGGAATTATTCACTACCAGGCACATTACTGAGACCAAAGCACTGACTGCCTTTATTCTAACTAGAAGAACTTTTCACACCACTACCCTCTTCCTTGGTCTAAGAATTACTGAGTCCAGAGGACTAAGGGTGTAGATCATGTCATACCTCCCCTGCAAACAGAGGCTGATCTCTGCAGAAGCAAAGAACTTTTCACCACTTTTCTACCTGAGTTTTTAAAAAAGGCTTATAAACAATAAGGGTCATTCAGCATGCCTACTTTTAACTGGACACAATTGTTTTTCCCTTTTTTTGAATTAACACCTGGAGTAGGTTCCATTGGCAAATGTATGTTCACTGATAATTTTGCACCATCTACTGTTCAAGCTCTTTAATGCTTCAGGTACATGAGATCTCCACCCCAACCCCATAGTTTCCTATAGCAGTACAGAATTTTCCATTATTTTGATTCATCACACTGAGAAATTGGAAGAGGAAGAGAGTCAAATGTATACGTTTATTTTGCCAACTCAATCTTAGAAGCCTTGCATTAGCGGTATAGCATCTGGCTCATAGGATATTTCAATAAATGTTCAGTGAGTGAATGAATGAATCCTGAGATAGACATGTGGGTAGGTTCAATAATGAGAAAAAGGTTCCAAAGCAGTTTTAGACACAAAAAAGGCTATGCTTCTAATGGACATTCCAGTGTTTGTGTCCGGAGGATATGAGTGGTTAATGATCTTTAACAATTGTGTGGATTTCCAATAGAAAAGAAAAAATAAAAATTTTATTGCATATTCTTTATGGTTATAAAATAACTTAAATGCCAAAAATTAGCATCTAATTTCTTACCTTAACATCTGTAAATTGAGACACAGCAATATCAGGAACATTGGGATGAAGAGCAGGTAGTTCACAACATAAGTTGGGAAAGCAAACCAAAGATCCCAGAAGAACTTGTGCTTCCACTCTTGGTGCCTATGCATCAAATTTCAAAAATCTTTAAAATATATTTGTGTTATTAAATTATGAGGAAAAATTAATTACCAAACTATACTATATAGGGAAGTGAGAGTATAAATCAGAATTCAAAAGGAAAGGGGGCATGCAAAATGATTTAGGTTTTTCCATCTATACTTTCCACATGAACTACTGTTATTTTCAATAAATGCAAGGGACAAATAACAGAGCGTTCCTCAAAAGCAGCTAATAAGCAAAAATCAGCCACAGTTAATGAGATTATAAATAGGAATACAGCTGAGCTACCACAGCATAAATTTACCCTAGTTATAAGGAATATAAATACTTTAATTTTAAAGGTAACTCACACATCGTGACATATTATTCTAATAAGCTGAAGATGCAATGTTCCTAGATTATATCTGTTTCTACCTAAGGATGAATACATACGGATGAAAATGTTAACTATCTTTTCAAGAAATAGGCACCAATCTAGATGATATATATGATATACACTTAAGAAAAGTACTGCCTATACTACTTACTAAAAACATTAGAATTTATGCCTGGACTACAGATGAAGGTAAATTTTCATATTTTACCTACGCCATTTCTGAAGTATCAACACTGATTACATTTTTCCTCTTCTGACTTCTTGCATACCCATCAAACACCAACATCCACCTACTAATTTATTGTTTTGTTTACTAAAACACCTGCAAATTGATGTGTATGTTTAATAATACCTAACAAAAATTCTAAACACCAACCTATTAGATATATAATAGTTCTATTCACATAAATCTAGAACCATCTTCAAAACGATTTCCCCATCTTAATAATGTTATAATGAAGGCAATGGAGTAGTCTCTATTATATGACTTAACAACTCAATCTAGATTTACAGATAAGGCAGCAGTATAAAGGGGCAGAGTAAGCTTGTATCCACCATTCCAATCTAAAATAAAAGTTTTCCTATAAAAATGGAACTGATTAAAAAATTCAATATTTAATGAAAGAAGATTAGGTAAGAGTTTTTCTGTAAAGGTGGTTAAGGTAACTGGGACTGTTAAGGTATGTGAATATTATGGAGGCAGACCTGGAATGTGACTACAATTAAGAATGGCAAAACTGAATCAATTATTTTGTAATCTGCCTAAAGAGGGGAAAACATTAACAGAAGGAAGAATATATGCATGGGCTCTAAATGGCAATCCAAAGAGCAAGTGGACTAGGTTTTTTAAACACCATACAGAGACTGTCCTTAATCTCCTTGTAGTGGAAATGTCTGTCAGGCTTGATTTCCTGCAATGATTTGGTTTCCTATAAAGCCTTTCTCAACAGGTGTTCCTCATATGAAACAGAGAACACAGAAAATGACTATTTTCTAAATTTTCCCAAGGACGTTACATAACTAATATCTTTCTACATGCATAGGAGAGAATTAGTCACATAAAATGGATGCCTTAGACATTAGTGCTTAATTGTCCTGCAGAATCTTGAGAAAAACTACAAGAAATGTGCTGACTAGTTGTAGTGGATTGAATTATGTCCCCCAAAACTTATTGAAACTTGAATTGTGTTCCCCAAGCTTTGTATTGGAAACTTAGCCCCCACTGAGATTGTTAAGAGGGTGGGGAAAGCCTATTATGGCAATTGAAAGGTGGAGCCTTGAAGAGGTGATTGGATTGGAGGACCGTGCAGTAGTGAATGGATTTAAAATGGTGGTCAGGGTGTGGTTCTGAGAGATTTAAAAGAAGAGAAGAGTCTATCTCTCTCTCTTCTTCCACCATCTTGCAATGTGAGACCCCTGGGTCACTTTCACCACTAGATGGACTTTGGACTTCCCAGCCTCATAAACTGTAAGCAATAAATGTTTTTCTTTATAAACTATCCAGTTCCAAGAATTTTGTTATAAATAGCGAAAACAGACTAATACACTAGTCATCTGGAATAACTATGCCACTGAACAGTAATAGTTTTCATAGTAAAAAATGACACTGGTTTATATGTTAATCTCTTGAGTGTTATGAACTTTTGCCAGTACCCAAGAGAGTGATAAGCTGTGTACACCAATAATACTATAACAGCCTTAGAACTTGTTTATCATCTCTAGTTTGTCTTCCATTTAATCTATTCCTAGCTTAATATACTTATTTAATACTCCCAAAGCACAGAATCAATCTCTCTCTCTATTTTAAAAAATGTGACTGTTAATCTAACATATAATATAGCATTATAAGGATCCCTGGCATTCAAGACTTTTCAAGATGTAATCTTAAGCAGTGCTTCTCAATCTTCAACTAATAATTTTACCAATCATTTGTGATCTATTTAAAATGCAGAATCTGATTCAGTAGGTCTGGGATGGGGTCTGAGATTCTGCATTTCTAATAAGAGCCCAAATCATGCCAAATGTTTCTGATTTACAGACCACACTTCAGGTAGCAAGGATATAAAGTAACTTTCTGTTCTTTCTGTACACCACACTATTGCAAATTAGCCTCTGAACAAAATGAATTATTTGTCGTTCCTTGAACACATCTTACTCATGCCTGTTCATCTCTGTCTGGAATACCTTCATACACCTCCATTTTCTCTTATACAAACACTGCTAATCTTTTAGGGACCTATTCATATATCTTTTCCATGAAATCTTTATATCCCCAAACGAATATTTAACAAACTTTTATTACATATACAATGTCATGAAATGTTCCAGACATGTTACAAATCCTCATAAAATAATTCTATGAATTAGGTTATCTCAATTTTATAGTTGAAGAAACTGAGATGCAGAGAAATTAAGTAGCTTGCCCATGTTCACACAGCTAATAATTGGCAGAGCTTGAATTTGAAGTCAGGCAGATTGGTTAGACTCCTACCGGTACCTATGTGATGTCTGGCATTCTGCAGTTAATATACTTTCCCATCACCTCAGAAGCAGATTATATGTTCCCTCAGCACACAGCCTATTTAATCTATTCTATATCCCTCTGTATTCCACCCAAAGGAAAACTTTGTATACAAGTGATTAAAAAGTTTAATAACCACAAAAGGGCTCAGCACAATGTTGAGCACATATTATGAGACACTAAATAAATACTTACACATTCAATCAATAAACACTTGGTAAGCATGGTGCTCTACTAGGCCCTGGAGATACCAAGATGAATTAGATATGATCACTGTTCTCAGGGAATGGGAGAAACAGAGTTATATAATTTGCTATAAATTCAGGTTCTTTTCTTCTTTTTTTTGCAGGTGGCCGGTGTGGGGATCAAAACCCTGGACTTTGGTTATTCTCAGCACCATGCTCTCCCAAGTGAACTAACCAGCCAGCCCTGCTTCTCTTCTTTATTTGTACATTCCCTATAGGTGATTGTATCCAGTTTCATGGCTTTAAATACCATCTATAACCTAATGTCTCCCACCTTTGTCTTTTCAGTCCTGATATCTCCTGTGAGCTCCTGACTTGGATATGCAATTATTCTCCTGAAATCTCCTTATGGATGTCTAATTAGCATCTTACTATGCCCCAAATAGAACTTTTTCTCATTCACTGTTCATCTTTTGCAGTTCATAAATGAAATAATGTATGTTAAACTACTTTGTAAGTTATTAAGTACTAGGCAAGTAGTTTTCTTTCCCAAATACCCTTAGTTTTATCCAACGACTTTTTTTTTTTTTTCCTTTTTGTCTTTTTTTTTCGTGACCGGCAACGGATTGCAACCCTCAGTGTCGCGCCCGCCCGTACCGGACCGGGACCGGCAACGGGATCGCAACCCTCAGTGTTGCTCCTGCACCTCGCTCAGCCAGTGAGCGGCCGGTCTGTATGTGGGATCCGAACCCTCGGCGGGAGCGCTGCCACGCTCCCAAGTGGCGCACTGTATCAGTGTGCCACCGGGCCGGCCCTGGTTATGAAGGAACCGTAATAACTTCGTATAGCATACATTATACGAAGTTATACGACTCGCTCAGCCAGTGAGCGGCCGGTCTGTATGTGGGATCCGAACCCTCGGCGGGAGCGCTGCCACGCTCCCAAGTGGCGCACTGTATCAGTGTGCCACCGGGCCGGCCCCTATCCAACGACTTTTAGTTAATTATTATTTCTCATTTATAGTTTGCTCTAGAATGATCTTTCCAAAACACAAATTTAGTTATGTCACTCCTTGCTTAAAAACCTTCAGTGGTTACTCATTCTCTCCTTAGGATTTTATCTAACTTTTCAGCACTGTGAACCAGCTACTGCTTTCCTTTCTAGCTCTCCTCTGCCATTTACAGGTAAATGTATTACAGCTGATTTACTTGGCAATACCTCAGCTCCATGACTGTATGAAAAATCCTAACATGCAGTTTTAGGGTTTACTTCTAGGGCATATTTCTGAGTTACTTCGCCACTGAGTTTTGTGGGGGTTTTTCTTGTTTTAAAACATTTAATTTTCAAATAAAAACTGAATATATTCAAGGTGCACAATGTGATATGATATACACTGTGTAATTATTACTCACCACTGTTTCTTACTTCTCTTTTGTTATAGCCCATTGCCTTTCTTCACCTTCTTCCTTCCCTCTGTCTGCTTCCTTAGATTTCCTCAACTTTATTTATTTACTTACTTTTTGGGCAGCTGGCTGGTATAGGGGTCCGAACCCTTGACCTTGGTGTTACAAGGCTCTGCTCTAACCAACTGAGCCAACTGGCCAACCCGATTTCCTTAATTTTAAATCCAGTTTTGCTTATTGGATATAACCCTCATCAAGTAATCTGAATACTTTCTTATATTTCAGAATTTCTCATTTACATTTTTTGTTTTAATGTGGGAGAAACAATCAATTCCAATTAAACTATAAATTTTCCCAAATATCAGCTTATTATATTTTATCAGCAATAGTTCTTACTATGTGGCTTTGTTAGTTGAGTCCTGGTTAACTAAACTTTGTCATACTAAGAACAGAAAACAAAAACTTACATTGAGAAAAGCCGAAGAAGCCACTCTACCAGCTGCTAGGATAAAATCCATAATAAGCATTGTGGCACCAGGCAAACCAAGTGAAAAAAATTGAGGTGAGCAGTGCTTGATGATTGTATTGACAATATCCTTAGAATAAGGAAAGAATGAGAAAAGAATATCACATATGTAATCTTGGATATCAGCTAATCAATATCCTTAATATAGATAATATATGAAATAAATTAAGAAGGTAATTACTATGCATTGGCTGACTATTGGAAAGACTAATTTCAATTCTCCCATATAATCCATATATAGTGTTAAATTCTGTCAAATGAAAGTAAACTTAAAACACATTTGTTTAACTGTCATAAATAATAGCAGTTTTTTCACACTAGAGACAAGGAAGGCTCTTTGCATCAGAGGGTTAAAAACATAAGGCTTATATGTTATAAAACTGAATTGCAGACTAGTTTCTCCTGCCACCTTGCTGCTTCCATGTGATAACTCTAATTTCTGAACCCATGTGACCTACTATGTGGCAACTAGAGATATTTTCTTTTTTAGATAAATTGATGATCTTAAATGATAGCTACCCACCCTCAGAAATCTAGACCCAGGCACTTTTAAGGGAATATTCTTAACCTGGTTATTCATTCACTATGTCTCTGGAATTTACCATGACGATGCAGTGTATTAGGTTGTATTACTCTTTCTGACTTATCTTAAACAAAAGCTCTCTGTCTTTTTCTAGTAATTAAGAGTGTCACTTTAGGGCCGGCCCGGTGGCGCACTGGAGAGTGTGCCACTTGGGAGCGTGGCGGCGCTCCCGCCGAGGGTTCGGATCCCATGTGGTGACCGGTTCCCACTCACTGGCTGAGCGCGGCGCAGGCGCAACACTGAGGGTTGCGATCCCGTTGCCGGTCCCCGGTACGGGCGCAACACCGAGGGTTGCAATCCCGTTACCGGCCAGTAAAAAAGACAAAAAAAAGGAAAAAAAAAAAAAAAGAGTGTCACTTTATTTGAGACATATTTATAAGGTAGAACAGTATAATTATTTTAAATTAATAAAATGTTTTATCCTCTTTTCAGAAAGAGAGATATAATCATCTTTCAATATTAATTTAATGCTTTCTAAATAACCTGAAAGTTATTTAGTCACATCAGGATAAAAATATTTACCTTGACTTGAAACTTCCCACACTTTTTAGTTTGATGGCCAAGATCAAGACTCCTGACGTAATGATCTAGAGTCATATTTATGACTATCCAATGATTGTAACTGATACAATTGCCAAGTTGATGTAACTGTCATTATGCCATTATAATTGATGGTAATATGAAAATGTGATGTGCTGATTCTTAAAGTGAAAAAAACCTCTGACTGCTTCTTGATGTATATGAGCAAAAACATATACATCAAGTATCAACTACAAAACATCTAAGGAAGGTATACTGGGACATTAAAGATGTTGTCAACCTAAGCAAAGGATGGTTTAATCTCTCCAAAAAATGAACTGGTTGGTATAACATTAAAGTTGGGGGAATACATTCTCAAGTTAATCTCCTAATTACAATAGCTTGTTTTTCAACTATGTTTCAAGAATAAATAAAGTCATAAAATGGAAGCAAATTACATATTCATCACTACATCACCACACAAGGAGTATAGTTTTAATTACAGATCTCAAAAATCAAGAGTTAACAGAATCTGGGCCGGCCCCGTGGCTCACTCGGGAGAGTGCGGTGCTGACAACACCAAGGCCACAGGTTCAGATCCCATATAGGGATGGCCGGTTTGCTCACTGGGTGAGCGTGGTGCTGACAACACCAAGTCAAGGGTTAAGATCCCCTTACCGGTCATCTTTAAAAAAAAAAAGAGTTAACAGAATCGAGAATCAAAGATAAACTGATAAAACAACTTCTTAGAAGATATATATATTTACCTGATCAATATGAAGTAATCCACAATGCATTATATTGTAGAAATGTGTTAGAAAATCTCTGTTTGGAGATACATCTTGTCTTCTTTTCATTGTATTACAAATAAGTTTATAAGCATGTAATTTACCTTGTTTATATTTATCAGTCAACATGGTTGCCTAAAATTAAAGTATCAGTTTTAAATTGAATACTCAAAAACAAATACTGTTTGTTAAATACTTAGACAATTGAATACAGCAAGCAATATATTCATTTTCATTTATTTCTACATTGACCCAATATCTTTAATGAACTAAAAACATGATTACTGAAACTATTCTTATCATCCAAAATTATACAACATACATACGAATAACCACAAACTATTTCACTTAGAAACATGCAAACATATCAAATAATACTTAAAAAAATTAAATCTCTAAAAGTACATAGCATATTCTGTGACACAACTTGTCAAGTTTATATTTCACTAAAATAAAGACATGCTTTTCTACATTCACTTTTGTTTTATTAAATAAGCAAATTAAAATTATGCATCCTATATAATTCTGTCATGCCTATTCTCTCTTCTCTCTATATAATGCATGATGACTTTATAAGGATACTAGTTAAAAACTAAGTGCTCTACAATACTATATAGTAGCTAAAATTCCTATGAAATGTTTAAGACATTTACTAAATAAAAAATTATTTAAAAAAAATTTTTTTTGGTCTGGGTTTGCCTTTTGAACAAATTTCAAAGAGGATTATTTTCTCCCTTGTTAACCTGATGAAATAAATACACAGTTGAGGAAACCGTTCAGCTTGTATTTTTACCCTGTTACTTTCCCAAAGAAAAAGAAAAACAGACATGGAGAAGTGGCAGCTGCTGTTAGGCAATACCACAGGCCAGCCTCATACTCAGGAGAAAATACTGCAGCTCAGAATTGTGGCTTCCAGTACCCTACACATTCAGAAACACTTCTCTAGCAACACAGTATAGAAATGATCCCTGAAAGTATAGTCTTAAATACAAATTTTAAACTAATATTTTATGTATTAAGCTTACCTTAAAAAGCCAAGGTGTAAGAATTCTCAGTGGAGGAATCAAAACTGGTGGAGAAGGGGAGGTCAGGTTATCAGTTGAAATGCCGAGGTTGTCTCTAATCTGTAATTTTCAAATAAAAGAGAACAGACCTATGATAACTGTTCCCTCTTCTGATTTGCATTACTTTATTTTTTTTTTAAAAAGATGACCGGTAAGGGGATCTTAACCCTTGACTTGGTGCTGTCAGCACCACGCTCAGCCAGCGAGCTAACCGGCCATCCCTATATGGGATCCGAACCCGGGGCCTTGGTGTTATCAGCACTGCACTCTCCCGAGTGAGCCACGGGCTGGCCCAAGATTTGCATTACTTTAAATTGAAGTTGAAATTCAGTTTCTACCACGAACTCGATATTTAATTATGGATAAGACACTTCATCAAGCTGGGCACCAGTTTATCTACAGTAAGGGGCAGGGTGGTAGGGGAGGCGGGGAGCTGTGAGACAGTGTTCTCTAAGGCCTTTTCGATTTCTTAATACTTTATTTTTCTTTCCTTCACCCCTTACATCCTTTTTTTCTTTTCTTTACCTTAGCTAGATTCTGCCAAAGTTCACAGAGATAATCAAAAACTTGAGCATGTATTTCAGGATCCATAATAGCATTGACATCTCCCAAAATGCCTAGCATTCTTCGCCACATTACAGTAGCAACATCAGCATGCCATCCAGTGAGAGTACCACCTGCCATCACACTACAACATTCAGATGGAAATTCACTGATTTCTATAGGAAAAAATAGCACAACAGTGTAATTTTTCAGAAACTGACCACAAAACCCCAAAAAGAGCCAACTTAAATCAACAGTCTTAAATATCTACAAAAGTGAATGAAAGAAATATTGATATACATTAGTGTTATTTTCTCCCAATAGGGTCAAAACCTCACCAGTACATAACTCCTTATTATGGCAGTAATTACTTATTCAATAGTGCTTCTATATAGATTTACGTAAGAAGGAAATGATGCAATTACCCTTCACTGTACAGATACCAGATGGAGAAATTTATGTTTGATATAAACATCATATTTATACACACATACTCTTATTTTTATCTAGTAGCTATTTCAGGTATATTATCAAATTAAAAGAAAATCTCAGGCTAAAGGCAGATACTATAGGAAGTTTCTATAAGCCTGTTTTTTTGTAGTTAAAGTTTCCAAAGAAATACACTTATACATTTCACAATTAAATCAGACTTAGCATTAAAAGAGATACCACAATGGCATGAAAAATACATTTTTACTAAAATTTAAACAAAACTAAAAACTACAATTATACTTCTTTTGTCTACTAATGTTGGCAAGATTAGAAGAAATATTGGTAACCTTGGTCCTACTGTCATTTCTGCTATCAATTATATGTTATATAAGTTATTTAACAACCTCTCTAAGACTACACACTTCTTCATCTGTAAAACAGTTTAGCTACATATCATTATAGGTCTCCAGCTTTAAAAAAAAATCCATTATTCTACTCAAGGTATATAATGGAAAAGTCTTCAGAAAATCACTAAAAAGTCAATAATAATATCCAAGCATCTAAAGAATTTTGATCCCATAAATATGTACAATCAATGTTTCAATAAAACAAAACAAAAAAAAAGAACTGAGAACTAAAAATTTTGCAGACTGAATCATAAGCTTATGATTTTTTCATGCTTGATAATATCTCAATGTACTGATAATTTACTGATAAGTATATATACATCCTTTACTTCTAATGCTTACTTTTTTCTTTTTGCATGTGAAGCATACAATGACTTGTATTATTAAGAAGATACTGAATAAATAGTTTTTCTTCAAAATAAAAAGATATGCCTGTGGTGTAAAGCCACTACCAAAAACAAACAAATAAAAAAACCACTGAAGTTTTAACCACTGCCATTAATGCCTCCCTACTGTAGACCACCTTTGTAACACAATAACATATCAACTGATCCTTCTCAAAGTAAAGCTAAAGCAAGGAATAATGTGTGGTCCTTGATTAAATTCTGGGTTGGGTTAGTGGTGGTGTGGAGTGGCTATAAAGGACATTATTGGGACAATTGAGGAAATTTAACTAAAAACTAAAATAACAGTAATGTGTTTATGTTACATATCCTGAATATGCTCATTATATTGTGGTTATGAAGGAACTGTACACTTACTCTTAAGACATAAGACAAAGACTGCAGTGTTTAGATGTGAAGGGTCTGATATTTAAAATTGCCTCTTACATGGCTCAGGGAAAAATAACAGGTTGCGGGAGAGGGTAGGGTAGGGTTTTTTGTGCATGTACGTGCATGTGTGTAGATATAGAAAAAGATAAAGTGGCAAAACAACTTGTGAATTAATGTAAAGGGTTTATGGATGTTCATTTTACTAGCCTTTGCAGGCCAAAAGGAGAAAAATAATCCACAAACCATAAAATTAGGGCTATGTAACTGCAAGGTAATTGCATATTAAGGAATGAGACCCTTAAAAAAGTTCCAGAAGTTATATGGCTTTAAATTTCTACCTTTGGTCACAGAGTAAATGTGCTGTATTACCCAATAAAAACTGGCTTTTATATTATTTATTGTAACTATCTCATCAGCTATCTTTCTGACCAACATTTTTGGTAAATATTTGTAAAATATTTGTAAAATGTCTATCTGATGCTTGTTACATCAGGGTGGATTTAACAAAAATAACTTTTTTTTAAACATGTAGTTTCTGAGGTTTCTCAAGTCATTTCATGCCCCCCATGGCAAATGCCAGGAAACCAAGTCAGTTTTTAACATTTACTTAAAAGTACGTCATTTGGACCATCTATTTTTTAAAGTTAGTTGATATACATTACTTGCAGAATCTAAATAAATTTAAAAAATACTAATTTGATAAATTCTTCCTCTGAAAGCTTCACTAACAAGTGATAATGCTACTACTTTCTCCTGTGAGTCAGCAGGTTCTTAGGATACCAAATCATGTATTTCCTGTTTCAGGAAATGGCACCATATCCATAAATAATACAGCACAAAAAATAATGCAATCACTAATTCTAGGACAGTAATCAACTACAATAAAGTGAACAAAAATCAGAGCATAAATATTTCTTTAAGAGCAAGAAAAAAATATTATAGTAAAAAATTTCCAAAATAATTAGAAAAGTACAAAAGATTTATAATAATCATGTATAATCAAGTTTAAGTTGCCTTAAGATCTCCTGACACTAATACCCTGAGAGGATAAATAGCAAATATCTAATTTCCAAATATTGCCTAGATCATCTGGTGTCTGAAGAACAGAATGGTGAAGCTTCTCATCAAGCTGTAGATCCTTCTGTTCCATGTGATCTATATTCAGCGTGGAAGGGGAAGGTGTCTGTGACCTGGATCCCAAAGCTGAATGGACTGGGGAAGCACTTTCTGAACCTGCAAATATAATTTCATAAAATTACCATAAAGAGTATACTCAATATGCTACTAAAGATGTAATGCTTAAAACCCCAATAGAAACTTAGATTTAAAACATCAAAGGATAAAACAGGTTATATATTGGCCAAGGAGGTCAATAAAATCATATTATTGTACAAGCTTTTCCATCTAGGAGTCTCATCTCATGTCTACCATGGGACTAGCATGAAATCAGAACTGGACATACCACGTACAAGGAGCCATCAGTGAGGGCAAGAATATCTACTCTCATTCCTGGCCCAGCTGTGGAAACTCTGGTACCTGATGGTACTATATTTCATTTACTTCAGACTTGGGGCAATTCAAGAGTTGAGGCACTTGCTCATTGCTGCTCTATATGCTACTATCATTGCTAGCCTGGTTTACAGTGGTCCCCAGCCTTCGGTCTCCTCTATACCCCCACTTCTTCCCAATCCATTCTCCGTAAGACAGCAAAAGGTCTAAAAATCTAATCTGATCATGCCACTCCCTCATTTAATATCCTTCAATGGCTCTTCAGTGGCCTCAGCATAAGCCCAAACTTCTCAAAATGGTTTTCAAGTCCCTCTGCAATTATCTTTCTTACCTCTCCATAATATACCTAGAACTTTTATGTTCTAGCCATATAAAGTAAACTACTTATATTTATTACAAAGTATCATACCACTGACCTGTTCTACATTTTTCCTTTGCATGGAGCCCTACCTTCTTCTTTTAGGTCTGGTTAACTTATATTTATTTTTCAGGTCTCAGCTTTGACAAGGCTTTCTGAGAAACCTACTCCTGATCTTGTCAAGTGTGTGTATGGAGTCTCTGCTACATGCTCTGACTGAACCTTGCACCTCCCCATTATCCCACTCATCACTGACGTGAAACTACCATTTTGCATTCCCACTAGCAATGTATGAGATTTCCAGTTGCTCACCATTTCAACACTTTATATTGTCAGTGTTTTTTTTTTTTTCCCCTTTTTATCTTTTTTACTGACGGGTAACGGGATCGCAACCCTCAGTGTCGCGCCCGTACTGGGGACCGGCAACGGGATTGCAACCCTTGGTGCTGCGCCCACACCGCGCTCAGCCAGTGAGCGGGAACCGGTCTCCACATGGGATCTGAACCCTCGGCGGGAGTGCCACCGCGCTCCCAAGCGGCGCACTCTCCAGTGTGCCACCGGGCCGGCCCTATATTGTCAGTGTTTTTAACTTGAGTTGTTTTAGTATGTGTGTAGTGGTATCTCATTGTGGTTTTTATTTGCATTCTCTCATTACTAGCAATGTTGAATATCTTTACATTTACATTTATTTTTAAGGACAACTACAGTAAAAGGTATTTATTATAAAATAAGAATTTTCTCTGGTATTTCTCTGAGTAATTTAAATTCTGTGATGATAGGACTGTGGATCTAACCCAATTGGCTCCTGTCCTCCACTCAGGCCCAATTCTACAATGGAGCAGACTAAAGTTTTTATCCTTTAGAAAAAGAGAAGGCAGGTTGCGAAAACAGCAGATGGGTTCCTGCCTGTCTAGTATATCCCTGGCCCAATTTCAATGGTCTGGATTGGCTGAGGAAATGTACCTAACTAATTTAGAGACACAGAAATCACTGCTCCAGTCTTATAAGTTCCAGCCAACCACAAGATGCAAAAACCACTCCTCTCATATTTAAGCTGGAATGGATAACCACCTATCGAACAGCATTAAACTGCAGCTAGAATCAGAGTGAGTTTGGATCACACAGTGGAATCCCCAGAACTATGAGCCAATAGCTGCTCAGGCTCACTCTGATCACTGCACTAACCTTGCAGTAATATGACTGCATTTGACATGATTAAATGTGTGGATCTTGGGCCGGCCCTGTGGCGCACTGGATAGTGCGCCGCTTGGGAAGCGCGGCGGCGCTCCCGCCCGAGGGTTCGGATCCCACATACAGACCGGTTCCCGCTCGCTGGCTGAGCGAGGCGCGGGAGCAACACCGAGGGTTGCAATCCCATTGCCGGTCCCCAGTCCGGTACGGGGGCAACACTGAGGGTTGCGATCCGTTGCTGGACACGGAAAAAGACAAAAGACAAAAAAAAAAAAATGTGTGGATCTCACTTGTCATATTACGGTTGGGTTTGACTATATGTAAAAAGTTTCTGAAAGCATAATTTAATGCATAAATACAATTAGTACATTGACTAAAAGGCCTTCTATTAGTCAGTGTGTTTTACATTTTCTGCAATACTTTGCCAAAGAAATCTTAAAACTCTAGGCTAATTCTAAACAATAGTGAAAAAGATATTGTGTAGTACTTTTTAACTATTTTTTGGTAATCTATTTAAAAATCACTGCAGAAAATGCTCTAGTGCATATATACACAAAATTTTGCACATACTGTCAGGAGTTCAGAGTCCCTTGAAGCTTACACATGTGTAATATGGGTCAAGAAACTATAATTTTTCCCCCCTCTGTTGTTGCATAAAGTTGAGTTAAAAAAAAATACTTAAAGAGTAATAAGTAATACTTAAAATCTCTCAAATAAAACTCTAACCAGATTTTTTGAAGGTTTAAAAGTAGATTTAAGGAATACATTTCCTTGTGTAACTTTACCAGTAACTGTTGCAACCTCAGCAGAGAAAGCTTGCTGGTTAAGGCTGCTTGTTTCAGAATCTATATGAAGCGTGGTTAGACTAGCCAATTCCTGCTCTTCAACACTGTGATGATGACCAGAACCAGAATCCACATCAGCAGAGGATGCAATCCCAGTGTCGGCTCCAAAGCCAAAGTCTATAGGAAGAAGAAATGCTAGTATATGAATCCTAATTACAATAGGAAACTATATACAAAAGAGATGCAGGTAAATCAGCATAATGAGAGAACATGAACATTCCCTCTAAATCTATTTTGTTTACATACATTCAAGCAAGTCTGAATAATTTTAACACTTTGAAGGTTATAATTATAAACTTACTTTTAAAGGTTCCCATAGCTTATTATTAACAATAATGATAAAAGACACACATATTTCATTGCTGTTCTTATTATCCATGTTTTCTGATAGCTGGTTATATACTTACTGCTTTTCAAGTATTTTATCATCTTTGGTGGAGGAATAGATAATAAAAATGATTCATCTATGATAAAAATCATCTTTCTCTTAAGTCATATCCCAGTCTGAGATCAGAGTAGTATGTAATACATGAAGGGAGAAAACACGTAATTCTCTAAATGCATCTCCCAGCTCTTCACAAACTTGGTTCTCAACGTTTTTTCTTTTTTTATATTTTGGTGCCCTTCAATGACTGCCAAGTGTAATATATAATTTCAGCATAATAACAATGTGGTAGTGATACAGCACCAAAAAATATCACTGATGTTATTTTCTTTTATTTTTTATTTTTTTTCAAAAGATGACCGGTAAGGGGATCTTAACCCTTGACTTGGTGTTATCAGCACCACGCTCAGCCAGTGAGCGAACCGGCCATCCCTATGTGGGATCCGAACCCGGGGCCTTGGTGTTATCAGCACTGCACTCTCCCGAGTGAGCCACGGGCCGGCCCCACTGATGTTATTTTAACGTGGAGCAATTATTCAAGAAAGGTTCTGGGCACTGTGACATCAAACATAATCAGTTAGTGGTTCCCAAATATGAGTGCATGAAACAGTGGCAACTTATAACCATGACTGACCTTTATTTTAATATCAAGTCCATCCTAAATTATTTTCCTTTCTACATTATTGGTATTAAAAATATCACTTGTGGTATAAAGTGTTTTTTTATTTTTTAAATGCCCTTAAGTTTGGCAAAATAAAGTGGTCTCAAGCTGAGGTGATTCCATAAAACTTCCTTTGGAATTTCACCGAAGAGTGAAATCAAAATATATGAGAATCACTGTCTAAGTAACATTGGAAAGGAAGGTGATTGGTATATAATCCATAAGTCAATCTCGAACAGATAATCAAAACAAAACATACTACTCAAGTAGAAAAAGATACTTGCTGTCAAATTTTCGGCCATCATATTGGAAAGCGTTGAAAGAATCCGAATGACTATCTGAGCTGATAAGATCACTGCTCCCTGCACTGGCAGGAGAAGTCCACTCGGAGGGCACACCTGGGTCATCAATAGGGCGCATCTGGTTCTGCTTGTTTAGAATATCAGGGAGGTCTTTGGGAATTTCGAGGCTGCCTGGACTACTTCCTCTTCTTGTCATGGTCTAAAAATTCAAGAAACATTTTACCACTTAAGAAAAGAATTTTTCATTCTTATTAAGCATCTGAAACCTTTATTTTCCAAGATAATAATCACAATGAATGCACCAAACAATCCATGTAACTGTATGGAGTGGAAATCTGAACAAAATAGTTTTTGGTCTACCTAAAACAAAGACACAAGTATCAGAAAGTGTTGGGCCTGTGAAACTCAATAGGATACATGAAGTGAATATAAGTTAAAATAGTAAAAAGAGCAAAGTATTTAAGTGGTAAAAGAAGAAGCAAACAGAAGAGACAGTGGAAGAGAAGGAAGAATGACAGCAAAGATGTCATTCTATAATAATTCTATAATGATTTTTACCCACTCAAGAAAAAAACTAGACTTACAAAAGGAGGATAGACTTGAAGGGAGGATATAATGGAGCTGTAGGCAAATTAAAACCCAAATAGAACAGAGTTCCTGACAATTAAAAAAAGCAATTTCACATATATTTTTCTATCCCTAATAATTATTAGGGATAAAATATCTTCTTTTTTCATTTTGCCATAATCCTAAAGTTCGAGATAAAGATAACTTTAAAATCTGTTTTAAAGTTAGCTGGAATGATTAACTTTTGAGCTATCAAAAGTATGGAAGCTGGGCCAGAAGACCTCCACTATTATCTTTCCTTTTGAGGGCTGACAGCTAGCACCAGGGTAACCTGTGAGCAAACAGGATTCTAATCTTTCACTTTGATGAAAACTACAAGCCTGCTTGTTCTATGTCTTTGGATAAAAAATATTATATAATTTTAAAAACCTTACTTCAAAAAAAAGGGTTACATTTTGGGAGAAGGCTGTTTTAAATAAAAATTTCTACATGTACATATATATATATATATATATATATATATATATATATATATATACAC